AGACTGAAGTTAATTTGAGTAAGAAATGCACCTAGTATAAACATCATGAATCGTAAGATGTAAACAATTTTTGTTTCATATACACATGCATACCAGGATATTGATGCTGCGTTTCCATGGAAAAGAACATCTGGTTTTCGCTGATAACATATACCTCATGTTGTTTATGCAATCTTCTGAAGTGATTTATGACTTATCTGAACTTTCAAGGTTATATAACGTCTTTGAAGCTTGAGATATCATTTTTATGAGGTCCTGGAATATATTTTCTTTATAGATTTTCATAATAAAATCAGAAATGCATTTGCTGGGAAAACCACTATAAACTGTATCTGATGTCATTAAATATTTAACTTTCCTGCTTAATTATACGTCCGTAAAACGTCTGCGAATAATGTTATACTTCGTCGTCCGTCCATCCACCTTTGAGCTTATACTTGTCCGCTCTATAACATTTGAGCCGGTTAAAGGATATCAAAACTATTTAGCAATCACGCTTACCTTAAAGTGACATTATGCTCATATTTTCATTGTCAAGTTGAGCTGAATTGACTTTATATTTCAAAAGATTGACTGTTTAAATGAGGTTTGACCAATAGATTATATTGGAAAATGTTTAGTATAAATTTTAAATCTGCCTAAAATATAAAAAGACTGCCCCACTCTTTATATAAATTGAACGTAACAGGTTAATTCTAAATGATATTTACTGAAAATTCGTTTGAATCCGGTGGTTATTTATTGTTTATGCGAAGTAAATCATTAAAGAAAAAGGAATTATGGCAAAATGAAAATTTATTTTGACTCACCTCTTCACTCACTCTATACCTTTTGATGGGCATAATGTCACTTTAATAAGGCGATGTCCAAAGCACAGAACTGAACTTCCTTTGATCAAGGACAAGGTCATATTTAGTGACTATATACGTCAATGATAATTTCGTGTTGCTTTTTTATCTTTTGAACCGATGGAAGAAAACTAAAGATTCCTGACTGAAATGTTCAATTAATTTAACCGACGGACAGAAAACAGACTTGGGTGTCCGTGCAGCAAGATCAAGGTCATATCGTGATGACTAATTTAAAATCTTTATAAAGATTATATCAGGAGATAAATATAGATTGAGAAGAAACTGTGACGTCACACAGTTAAATTCAATAAGGTCGGAATTGAATTCGCGCAATATTTTGCGAGATTTGATGCATCCTGGATAAAAGTAGTCAATATACCGCCATATTGAATTCCCGGATGTACACAAAAGTCGAAGCATTGTTTACTTATATAAGAAGCAATAGTTATTTATTCTCAAACGTACAAAACACACCTTTCCACACAAATATGTAAATATATATGTAAAATGCAATGTGAACAATAATGCACGGATATCGCCGAAGTTTAACGAGAGCGCGAACATGGAAGACTAGCGAGAAAACCCGATTATCACCGAAGCGCGCAAAGGAGTGTGGGTCTGAATATGACTTTCGTATATTTTTGGAGTTTCCTATCCGTTGTATATATATCTGTGATATCTTTTAGTTTATAAATTTGTTATTTTTCTTTACTTTCTTAAAACTTTAAAGTTACATTAAATAAATTTCATAAAAACAGAAATAGCGACATTTCATTAATAAATTGGGTTTCATATCGACTCCAGATCTTATTTTGGTGTCCAGACAACCAACATGAGTTTTATAAGCATTAAAAATGGACAACCTCATTGTGGCGAAATCGGAAGTACAATATCTGTTTGCATGAGAAACTCCGCCTTCTGATCATACGTACATCAATATTAAATCAATAAACATGACTATAAGTAGCAGTCCTAATTTAACGGTATATTTCCGCATTGTAACGGATGTTTCATACAAATTTAATCTTTTTTTATGAGATGATAACGTTTTACTGAACCTCAGGCCTAGTGCACCGTGAAGTTAAACGGTTAAAATGTGTTTGCACAAGAAATTCTCATATTTGTTGTGTTCCGGATAGCAGTTATAACACTGTGACGTAGCGCATACACGAGCTGATTATAATCTTCATTTGCATGTTAAAATTCGTATACGAACTTTAGTGTTACCGTGGGGTTTCCCGTTTAAAATTCTTATTTATGAACAATATTTGATGAGATTTACAACAATACTGTTAAAAAGGTTAATGAATCTGTAGAATGATTGGTTTTTTATGCCGACGGCAAAATATATTTTACATATTTATTTAGTGTAGCTTTAAACACGATATCAGATTTTTTTGTCTGTTGAAAACAATATTATTGAGAAGATTGTAGACGTAAATGGTTAAATCCATCATAGCTTATCACTGTTTTACAACGGTACAAAGGATGACAGCAAAATAACATTCAATATAAAATGAGTTCACATCCGGCCCAAATGTTGTTTGTTTGTAAATCTATTTAAACATTATCTTGAGGCAACTGTTTATTTTCTCTAGCTAATTTACAGCTTAGACAAAGACATTTGACTTTGAATGTAATAAATTGTTAAGAAACTTTAACATGAACAGAGTCATTTAGTTCATAGGGATTATTAATTTGAAATGATTTATCACATGTGGGAGATTGAAATTGAATATAATTTTAATAAATCATTTCAGAAGTTTATAAATATTTTCTGTTAACTTATATTAACTACAGTAACTATTGATTAGGTACTATTTTAGAGGCATGCTATGAAAATACTAAAATAGTTTTGATTTATATTTCAAATAGGTTCTTTTTATTTAGCATTTATGTAAATGCGAACCTGTATATAAATGAAGCATTGGATGGCTGATCTAAAACAAGTTTTGTTTACTCTTTGAAAAAAGGCCGTTTTGCATTTCGTATTTTGTTAGCTTTCAAATAATGAATTTGTTTTTAAAACCCAAATAATTATGAAATTGACCGTCCATCCGTCATTATGTAATTCCCATCGAGGTTAACTTTAATCGGCAAGTTGAATATATTCTTTCTTTTTATTGTAACTTCATTTATTGACATTTATCTTCCAAAAGTAGAAGAAAAATTATCTAGTTGTCCTTAAAAAATGAATGAAATTTGGGAAACTTGGTTAATGACAAGCTGAGTGGTGCTTAAAATATTGTTATTTAACTGTTGCTTATACAGCCTTTTTAATAGGCATTATTTATAGACAGATTTTCTTTTTATAATTGGACGAAAATACTTTTGATGGGGTATTTCACCTATGGTGCCGGTTTTGCTGTGTTGTATTTAATAGTAAAAGTAATAACTTATCAACCAATTATAATCCAGTTAAACTTCAGTCGAAGTTTTCTAATTGATTTCTACTGATTCATGGCCATTGCAACAATTTTCGTCCTGCCCACTATAGTAGGAAAATCGCTGATTATTTTTTTACCAGTTTATTCTGTTCAATCTGTAAAGCGGAGTTTTCGTCCTGTTTTTTCATATAACAAAAATTGTTATTTCTTCTAAATTTCTTTCGCATTCTGACAGAGCTTGATGAATGGGCTAATAGGAATTATTCATAGATATTCTGTATTAACCCCAAAGAACGCGAAGAATTTCGTTGGTTATTAAAGTATAGGTATTTGACATATTCACTTGACTTTGTCCAGAAGGAAATTGTTATTACATTCCTAGTAGAGAAACAGCTGTTCCCCAATATCGTTGGTTACTGAAACATAGAACCTAAGCAAAGCAATAAGACATAGTTACAAAGCATTATCTGAATACAAAAAGTTTGCAAAGCATAACACATCAGACGACAACATTACTGTACATTAAAACATAGAGGTGATCAACTACATTGAAACGGTTTAGAAACTGTTTCTATAAACAAACAAAACATTTTGTGAGGTTAGAAATACATTTTTCTTCCTTGTAAAAAGGACAAACAGGACAAAACTAAGATTTCTATGAAGGCATTTAACAGTTATTAATATAATATAATATCATCTGTCTACGCTTTCTATGAAAATTAACCAGTGTTTAAAGCACGACAGGCCCTTTTACATGTACAATATATAATAAACAAGATCAACAGGGATAGCGGCGTTCAAAGAACGCAACCCCACACAATTCAGCAACAAAGACCAGCATGGCACCTTGTTAATTCAACTCTAGTGTCAGGTCAAAGTGAATCAAAAAGCAGATTGAACATCCTTTCAGACCTTTCGGAAAAGGCCAACATACAATATGTGTAGTTAACTGTGACATAAAATTACCCCCCCCCCCCCAAAAAAAAAGAAAAGAAAACGCCAAAACTGAAAATGTTTTAAGCTTTCTTTGACTGAGCCTGAGCCTGGAATCAGTTACAAAACAATATGTTTCGGAATTATTGAGTGCATTCGCTAAACTGCGGTTGGGGTTAAATAACTATTATAATAAATTGAAACAGGCTTAACTAATCAATATTGATCATTCAAAATGTTTCGATGCATATCAATCCTTTTTTCATACGTAAAACTGTTCTTTAAAATACCGTTCATTTATGACAAAGTAATAAACTAAAATGTTTTACGATTTGGAAGAGATCTGCTATCCTAGACAGAGTTCAAAATGAAATGTTCAGTTATATGTACAGCGGCTGCTACATATCGGATTCAAATTTCAAACCGATCTGAAAATAGATTACATAATTATTGTATGATGATGGGGTGAGCATCAAAATCTATGGAGCTAGTGTGTTGTACCGAGGTTTACGAAATGTTTGGCATCGTTAGATATACAATAATTCCTCTTATAAATTAGTATTCATCATCTTTTGCAGACCAATGAAACCGCTCTAATTAAATAAAAAAATAAAATAAAAAAAATTAAAATAAATAAATAAATGGAAAAAAAAATAAATAAATGAATAAATAAATAAATAATTGATGATGATGACGACGACAACGATGATGATGATAATAATAATGTGCACTATGTCGTATGAACCTATGGTCGCTCCTTACTGTGTCTTGTTAGAATATCACTTAATAAACATATACATAGTAAAATAACACGGAGAAAAAAACAACAAATTATTGTAAGCTTTATTTCAATATCTTACAGCGTTTTATTTTGTTCGCCAATTGCTTTCTTGTTTAGGGCACACGTATTCTTTTATCGTTTCGTAACAGAAAACATTAATTTAGATTGATGAAAAGTAAAAAAAAATATTATTTTATTATTAAATAATATGTAATATTTATATGGGTATTGAAAAATAATCAATTTTATACGAGTAGTATTGCGTTTAGTTTAAAAATATACTATGCTCATCCTTGAGTAAAATATTTTTATCACATAGATTTATTGAAATCTTCATAATCCTTATTGGATATGTCTATTTTGAATGAAAGATTGAATAAACAACGTATGGAAAGCTGCATTTCCTATTAAAGATCAAGTAAAATGTTTTTTTTAAAAGAAAACTTGTAGATTATTTTTAATGAAACTATATATTCATATTGTGACCATAGTGTGTAGAGTTTGAATATAACATGTATCTACTTTGTGTAAAGTCAAAACATGTTTATTTTACATTTTTAAAGAGACTGTGAAACATCTAATATCAAATTTGAGCATAGTATATCTTTAATAATATTTTATTGGTCTTTGAATACAATTTAAGAAAATTATTTTTCACATAACAACATATTTAACAAAGGACAATAGGGTTAAACAACAAGTTCTAGTAACATTAGTAACTGTCCCTCACTTAAGCATAATAACATATAGAAACGAAAACATATATAAACACAATACGCATAAGCAATTACAAATATTAAGACGAATACAAAAATAGAGTAGCAAAATGAATTCGACATTAAATTTAAAAGAAAAAGCATTTGCTACTCAATTTTTTAAGATATTAAAAAAATCCCCTTTTTCTTCAGTATGACATGGTTTGTATGGCTGTCAAAATATGTCATCTATAAGGGGAATAAGAAGAACTAAAATTGGGAACAACGATTGTTAATTTCAATTTATGTGTTTTTTTATTGTAAAGTATTGCGTAGAATATAGCTACCAAATTACATACAGTAGTGTTAAAAGTTTTTTACACGCTCCTTTGCTTTAAGTATATGTTTAAACTTCACATGAAAGCCAACTGTCATATTAACGAGTATAACATATACAGGTTAGACATCGATTTGATCCAATGGTATTGGGATTATCATTAAAATTGGTAACAAAAGCACCATCAGACGAACGAGTGCGATCCTCAGTGGTCCTTGATTCACTCTGATTAATTCTGTAAGCTGGTTCGTTATCCTCTCAGAAGACGAAGGAAATATAAAACTTGTCATGCAAAATCACGGTCATTGTTGTTTTTAGCTCTAAATGTGTGTAGCATGTGCTAGCAATGTATATGCTAAGATTAATAAAGTTATATTCTTATTAATTGTTCAAAAGCTACAGAGTTACTCATATTGGTATTCGCAAATGAAAGCACGCTTATGTGTACATGGGGTATCAAACCATTGCCAAATTTGTTTAGTGGATAATGTTCTGTGATACACAATACATAGTTCGGTAGGTCCGTTATCTGGGTCGTTGTCTCCCCAGAATGTAAATGACGGATCTGTTGACTTGTATCCATAAGTCCAAGGGGCACCTTGAACGGATTTTCTTCCATCAATCCATAACATATCAGAAGAAAAGCTTTGTTGAAGAATTGTTTCATTAACATATTTTACTTTCATCCCAGAATCAACGTTTACAAGATGTCCTCCATCATTTTGGCAAATATTTTCAGCATCGTCTCTGGCTAATAGTTTGTCGTACAATTTTAAACAGAAATTGTTATTTGTGAAAGTATAATCCTTTGGACACAATAACTGGCAAACCTTTCTGTCGGTCACAAAGGTTGGCTTAGTGTTATGCTTACAATACGTGGTATTTAAACCACAAGTTCTACCTCTTGTTTGACCTCCAAACTCACCTGGATTGGTGGCGTCACACTCTGACCACTCACTCCATTCAGAACAGGGATGAAGTCGGCACATTTCTTCAACCACGTCGTCATGCTCTTTATCCATTCGGTTCTCTACACGGCGCATTGTTTGGCCTATGAATTTCAGCAAAGGTTTGTCAAGCTTTATTCCCAACTCAATTAACCCTTGCCCTGTAAGTTGCGATTCGCTCATGTTCTCGTTTGCATCTACTGAATTAATTGTTGATAAGCATCCCTGTACTATTAAAGAAAGCAGCAGAAATGAATATACACATTTCATTTTGAACTTTTAAAATAAATGTTTAATTTGTCCCATGAACTTTAAGCACATACTATTATACTCCTCAATTATATAATGGTAACTGATAGTCTGCAGTGATCATTGTTACACAGTGCGCTGCGTACCTAATGCTTTGTTTAGGTCGCTCATAAACAACATTAAGAGGGATGAGCAAAAATAAAAGAAGAGCAAGGTAGTGTTTACAAAATAACGTTAACATGAATTAACTACATATCAAAAAAATCTTACACTTGCTGATGCACATCGTCGCTAATTTCATAACTTCGTTAACGTTCTAATGCTGTGTTTTGTTTATTAAGTATCTTGTGAACCATATGACTTACTGAAATCCTTTTATCAAACTAACAAGGTACACCATAAATGTCAATTGCGATGGACGTATCGTTAAAAAATGACTTCATAAAATTGCTGGCAATTAAGTATTCCAGTTTCTAAGTGCACGTACTTCTCAAACACAACATTACCGCTTTCAATCGAGGTGTTTTTATGGGTAAAGTCTGATCTTGTATCAGTTAGATCTTTTCATTATAGTTTCAAGATTGCCTGTCGATAGGTATACCACCCAACGTAAATATTCTTAGTCAGTTCTCCGATCGCCAGTATCTGTACTGTGAATCACGAATAAACGGCACTATTGTCGAGCCACAGTGTGGTTTTCTACTTCGACATCCATTCCCTTCTAGACTGTCCATCTGATTCACTTTACATTCCTGTGTGGTTGTATCGATCATTTTCTGTCTTTGTTATGATGTTTTACGACATAATTATAGAGCTATATTGTCATCATTTGGATTTCCGTTGGTGACCACATTTCCAGGTAAGAAATACGTTTATCTACCTGTTGTTTTTAAATAACATCGTTCAAATTGCGTAAAACTTTAACAACAATCTCTGACTATGCTTCTTTTTTGTTTTTTTTCAAACGTGTATATTTCATATGCGTGTGCGGCATACGCATTGGCGGCTTGTTATATTTACTGAATGTATTATTTTCAATATTTGATAATTATATTAATGGTTTGGAGTATATCAATGCATGACAGAGTACACTTCACTACAGTTTCAACACACGTGTTGAAGCAACAGCAAACGTTATTTTGGATCATCCCTCGTACGTTTAATGAATCCTCAATACGTGTGCAATTATCGTAAGCATACGTTCTTGATTATTATATTATACTCACGAGGAATAAATAAACGTTATGAATTGTACTCGTAACAAAGTTCTTTCTTATCTAACGTAGCAAATATTTATGACATCCTTCTAAATAATATAAATGTTTATGTTTTATTTTAGCATCAGCTGTATTATTGTAGAACTTAAATATTTTGTAATACCAATATTTCTTTAAAAAATTGCGTAAACGTATTTTGGTCATTTCTTAAAATATTCCTATATGTAAACTTTCCGACAAAAAACATTCAAAGAACAAAAAAAAAAATAAAATAAAAACGTCACCACTCGTCTTCTTGCATTTAAGGTAGAAGAAATTTTATGTAAGTAAATATCAAAACTAAAATTATGAATTTTCCGACAAACAATGCGGGTCAATCACAGTTTGCCTCTTATATTTGTATTTTCAAAATGCGTCTATAAAGGTTAGGTTTCTTTACTTTATATAGTATTAGTTATTTCACTTCATTGTTGTTTGTGTCTACATATAAATATGTTGACACATTTGGTTAAAACTATCAGTATCAGTTCACTTTCAATGTGTTAAGAAGGTGTCATTCTTTTACGTCACAAAATTATATTGACAATAATTTTATATACAGTGCAACATCTACAAAGCAAAACACTTGGGGAGACAAAGATTTTGGTATTTTGCTTATATATGTTGCTGTTTAAATTGTGGAAAATTTTACATTTGTCCCGAAAACTGGATGTTATTGATGTAAAGAAGTTTTTGTTCTGCAGAGTTCCTCTTTGTAGAGTAAACATCGTATATCTTCCTATTTCTGTATGTTAATAACAGTAGATTTTCCTGAATTATTAACAATCATAAGACTTTAGTGTATGTGTTAGCAAAATAAAAAAATACCAAAAAAAAAGAGAAGAAAATAACCCCCCCCCCAAAAAAAAATACAAAACAAAAACCCCAATAACAAACAAACAAATGTCACTTTAACTAGAAGTCGTTATTCTGTACTAAAGTTGTGTCAAAATTTTAACAGCCCTTTAGTACCACCGATGATAGTGAATAGCTTAAAAGCGTGACATAATTGTCGTTATACGTTCTAAATAACGTTGTACCTAACTACTGTTATACAGAAGTACAAATTAATCTTTAAGTTACCTAAAATACTGCTTTTATAAAACAAAATAAAAAAAGAAAGATGACAAATATGTACATCTATTTTTAATAAAGCAAGAAATGCAGTAGTTAGCAATTTGTGGGCAATTGATGCATTTTACTTTTTCAAAAAAAACCTTACCATTTGAAATGTTCAACTGAAGCTTCACTGCAGAAGCAAACATCATATTGATCATCAATTTAATTGTACGGAATCAAGTAAACCATTTACATTTCGTGTATACATACTTATAGAAGTAAATCCTCATTCCAGCCGATGTAAATATATACAAATAACCAATTAATATAATCATTGACTCATTGCCAGTTTTACATACATATTATAATATTTGCGTAAATGCAACCAGCTTTCCCCTAAAACGATTTATTACAATGATTGTTTTCAGTCACATTGTATCTGTTAGTATGATAATAAAACATAAGTGTTTTATGCAATTAAACTGAGTAGTAATCCATCATTTTGTAAATGAGCTTGTCCACAGTGTTTGTTTAGACAATATTGAAAAAAATAGTTATTTTTGTATGGAGAAATATTTTATATAATATAGCATCCGACCTGCATTTCATAATTAACAAACTCGGATACTTTTTCTAAATCTATTTCGCATTCTGCCCGCTCTTAGTGTATAGAAAAATTAGTTAAATGCAAAAATAAACACTATATAACGCCCCTAAGACCGCAAGTTTAAAGATTTTCTTTGGTGATAAATGACCTGGATCTTGACTCTTTCGATTGCACTTGCCTTTCATGAAATTGCAAAATAATTTTTTGAAAAAGGAAAACTGTTCTTGAGTTACCATCCAGTGTTTTATTTTATGAAATAAGACGTGATTTGATGGAGCATACTTTTGTAAATGTTGAGACACCAGCTGCTCAAATACTGCATTATTTTATAATTTATGTTGCCGGAATAAATAGAAACAGTTCTCATATCTGGTCGCATATCTTTACTAAATGGACGAAAGTTATATGTATACACTTTGAACTCAGTTTATTGATGTGTCAATTGTTCATTTATTGATCTGCAAAAGGTAAACTCCATTAACTTAAGTCTAACGTTTGTCATTTAAGAGCTAAAGTCCTTTACAGTGTATGTATTAACAGACTTTTAGATTATTTATCATAATTTACCATTACGTATTTACTTTACTGCCGATTCCTACAATATTATTTTTCCCTTATTCGTGTAGCCTTAGTATACATGATAAGGACAATTGTAAACTTCATCGTGATATGACAGATCAATTAGATACCAGAGCGTTATCATGATATAACAACTGCATTACTTTAGGGTCAACAGCTTTTGGATAATTTTGAATGTATTGGAGGTCAGAAAAACACTTAAGATTCATCTTTATCAGATTGATAAAGGATAAGTTACAAATATAAGACCTTATCGATTACATTCTTTTTAATTTAAATAGAATTGAACACAAAAAGGCAACTGGTTGAGACTGATAATTCCAGATGATTGATTTAGGTTTATCCATTTTATGTTATATATTGAATTCTGCTCAAGCAGGTCTCAGCGGGGTGGCGTGGACCGTAAAAAGCATCTTTCTTAAGATGAATATGCTCACAAAAACTGAGTATGCAACATTTTCAATTTGGTCGTTTTGGGATTTCTTTAGGGATTCTATTTTACTCTATTTTATGTAACTGGAAATGCTCTATGTACTTTATATGTAATCAATTACTATTCATGAACTAAATTGCAACGTACAATAATACAAAAGCATTGAAGTTATTACATTAACATGGTACACTTTCTGTCAGTAATCCCATATATTTTTAAAGTTAAAAATATTAAGTACCTAAGTACTTAGCACCGTATGTATCACAATGCATTTCGATTTAAATTTTTAAAGACCTAATGAAGACAATTCAAATAGCCGAAAATACGCGTTTTACGTCTTATTTGGTGGTTCCGTTTTGCATATACTCATAATTGTTTTGTATGTTACTAGCTCTATTTCGCACTTTTGCATGTTAACTATTCTGTTGTATTGTTGCCTGGTTGCAATCTCACTCTTTCGTATTTTTGCAGCTTTGTGTAAGTAGATTTATTACAAAAATGCTAAATGCCCAGAAAAAGAAGTTGAAATACTAATTGCTAAATTTGCTTAATCTGAATGTAATCAGATAGTACATCGGACTCTTTGTCGTTCATAATTACATGACGTTATAAATGTTATTAACGTTACATTACTCATCAATAATTGTGTACATTTTGTAATGAAGATGCATATAAGTCATTACAATTGCTATGAGAGCACAATGGTCGCTTAATAGCTACATGCTCGTTTTACGAGCGTATTAATATACACTTAGAAATAAGTTAAGCACACCCTGGAAATTTAAAATTGGTTGTGATTGAAAGCACTGTCCAGTGATCAGGACTTAATAAGAAATAGTAATTGTTAAGTAGCGATACAAATTCAGTAATCATTAACCAGCAAATTTATTAATTAAGTTTATTCATAACCAAATTGTTTTCTTATTCGCTTTGCTTAAACGAAAATAAATCATTTATCATCTAACAAGAGTTATATGGACATGATTATTATTAATGTCGATATCTACGGATAACAACACTGTCAGTAAAGTTAAAAACATGCTTAATTCACTCACTACAGTTATATATTATAATATTTATTTAACTAAATAAAACAATGGCCATTTTAAGTCAGAACATATTGTCTAAGACTCACATCGGTTAAGGGACGGGTGGTGAGCAATACGACCTGTACAGTACATTGCGAAGTCCTCGAGTGGTGTATCTATCCGCCTGTCAATAACATATACATTTCAAGTTCAGT